GACAATTTTGAAAAAAACAATATTTTTGACTTTTTGCTATAAAACATATCCAATAAAAATGAAAAAAAAAAAATCAAATTTCTTTGTACATTTAGGCCAAAATGTATTCTGGTACATGTCTTTGCTAAAAAAAAAAAAAAAAATCCCAATACGTGTAAATTAATGGGTTTACATGAAAGTTATAGCATCTACAAATGGCGGTATATGTACTGGAATTTTTATTTTCTTTGCTATTAATGACGACAACAATCAATGACACTGGGTGGAAACTAACTGCTACTGACATCCCCAGTGACACTATTACAGTGATCAGTGCTAATAAACAGCATTGACACTGTAATAATGACACTGGGCAGGAAGGGGTTAACATCTGGGGCAATCAAAAGGGTTAACTGTGTGCTGTGTGTGTTTTGCTGTGTGCTGTGTTTTACTCGGGAGACTTGCTGTTTTGTATCTCTTTGCTGTGCAGAGAGATACAAAACAGCATGTCCATGCTGACAGGAGAGAGACCTGTGTTGTTTACATAGATTTTCAGCACAGCCTTGCCACGGGTAGGGCCTGTAACGGGGAAATCGAAGCACGTGATTTTGCTATAGCACTTTTGGGCGGAGGGCAAGTGGTTAAAGTAATATTAAAGACAATATAAAAAAAAAAACACAACAAACATGTAATATTTACCTGCTCTGTGCAGTGGTTTTGCACAGAGCAGCCCGGATCCTCCTCTTCTCAGATCCCCCTCCGATGGTCCTGGTCCCTCCCTCCTGTCGGGTGCCCCCCACAGCAAGCTGCTTACTATGGGGGCATGCTTACTCCCCAGCCGCTGCTCTGTGTGTCCATTCACACACAGCCACAGTGCGGCCCTGCCACCTCCTTTCTTTATTGGATCACTGGCTGTGAATGAAAGCAGTAGGAACCAATGGCTCCCGCTGCTGTCTTAGCCAATGAGGAGGAAGAGTCCCCAGGGAACCTGTGCACATCTCTGGATCTCAATGGGGCTCAGTTAAGTATTTGAGAGCTGGGGAGGCTGCCACACACAGAAGGTTTTTACCTTGAGCCTTTAAAACCACTTGAACAAAGACGCAACCCATATGTAGAAAGTTTTTTAAAAGCATTTATTACAAAAGTAAAAGTTATATGTAATTTTCAATTTGGCTCCTTACTTTTAAATAAATGTCAAGGTGAGCATACTGTATGTTTAAAAACTGAACGTGATTACAAGCTTGAGATTTTTTTTTTTTCTTTTTTTTTGTTGCATTTGAAAATATAAATTTTAGTAAATCCATTTAAAGACTGCTGAAGGATTAGATTGTGCATAGTATGGTGATATGGCAGCTGTTAGTTAGTCCTCTTTGTGTCTAAATTTAATAGAACCATTTGGGAACTAGACAGACATGTTTGGTTATTTGTACATACAAACTGACTTTAAAAGAAGTATAGGAAAGCGCAAAAAAAAAATCATAATCGCCTGGTAGGTGGCAGCACCGATCCCAGCTGCAGCTGTCCCCTGCCGGCCCGAGAACTGAGCCGATCAAACACCGCTGATCGCTCAGTTCTCCCCCTCCGCTCTGAGCAGAGTGCGGTGACTCTCACTCACTGGTTCTCTGCTCTGCCCCTTCAGCACTCACTGGAGGGCCAGGCTGTGGAGGTGCGAGAGGGGCTGGCTTAGTCTTTCCCGGATCAGCTGAGTGATGTCGGCTGAAAACTGGTAAGAGAGTGCAGAATTGAACTGCTCTCCTGTGATCCATAGAAGTATAGTCAAAAGAGCTTTGGTTATACTTCTTTAAAAAATACATTTTATATATATATATATATATATATATATATATATATATATATATATATATATAAAATAAAAAAGGTGTTTTACTTGCTTGCTCTAAACAGTGAATTTGCACAGAGCAGCCCCAAACCTTCTCTTCTCTTGGGGTCCTTCGCCAGTGCTCTCCCCTTCTCCTTTTCCCAATACCAGACCACTTGTTATGGGACACTCGTGCGGGCACATTCCCAAGCCGGGCTCTGTTCATCTATAAACACACACAGCACAGCTCAGGCCCGCCTCATCTCCTCGTAAGCTTTGATTTACCACAGCAGGAGCCAATTCCTTCTGCTGTTGTCAATCAACATAGTATGTGAAACCAGGAAGAGGGGAGAAGAGCTGCTACAAATGTGACACTGTTGGGAGTACTGATGCTTGCTCGCTCCTGAGCTGGCTCTGTGTGCCTCTGTTCCCTCCTCACTGGCTGTGATTGAAAGCAGCTGCTGACTCTGAGCCACTGAGAAGGGAAAGAGCTGAGATCACTGGATCGAGATTGGGCTCAGAAAGTTTAAGGGGGGCTGGGGGAAAGGGGGACTGACCATTGAGGATTTTTTATCTTAATGCAGAGAATGCATCAGGTAAAATACCTTTATACCACTTTGAGTGTTTAGCATTTGATTGCTAATTGTTGATATGCCTTGACTTGTAGAGTTTTGAATTATTTTATAATATTTAATTATTACTGTGGTTACAGGTGTTTTTTGTGAAATGGTTTTTCCATAGGCATTTTTTTCCAAATGCAAAAATTGTTTTAAAAATATATACTTATTCTAAATAGATTGTTAAATAAATTAGATTCAATGATGCAGAGTAAAATATTAGTTGATATTTATTCAGCATTATTTTTCCATTACAATGATATATATGTTGAAGGCCTTTTTGACCCTTAAATAAACGTTAACGCACGTAGGATTCTATGTTTTGTTATTATTGCTGTATTACAAGTTTTAAGTGTTTACAGGAATATCCATAGGGTTGTATGTGTTCAGGACATATGCCCCGAAAGCAGGACTTCCGCATCTGCGTCATACATCCCTTAACATGAGTACTTCTCAGTGCAGCATCCAACCACCACATATTTCAGCCTGTCATAGATTTGGCAGATTTTTGACTGGACATTGCAACTGTGCTTGCAGGGCACCCAAAAATGATGGGATTTGATTCAGATGGGGCAGACTGCATGTGGGGGCACGTAACCTAAGGCCTTGTTCACACAATGTGCAGAGATGTGAGTTTTTCTTGCATGTGTTCTGCAAGGGCCCCAAAAAAAAAGAATGTTCTCAATGTTCCCAGTTCACACCTTAACAATAGTATTGTGTGGATGTTTTCTGCACAGGAATCTGCAACATGTATAAAACTAATTGAAACGTGCATGAAAACTGATGTAAACTCGTGTCTCTGCATGTGAAATCTGCACATCAGTTTCCATCAGTTTTATACATATATGGTGTGAACGAGGCCTATATGTCCTCGCAAAAAAAAACCAAAACAGTATTTTGTAAGATTATATGTGTTTACTTTTTTTATTTGCTAATGAGTAAAAAAGGGGACATAAGGGGTTTATTACAAGACTTGCACATTTCTGTCTATCCTTTTAATGTCATTTATATGGTTATCAAAAGTTAATAAAGAGCACTGCAGGATGGCCTTGGGTTCCAGGAGTGCAGACCTGACATCAAGAGTGTAATTGGTTTGTGTTCTATAAAGAGACAAAAACCAGAGCTTTTTAATACTGTACAAGGACCTAAAATGATAAACAAACTATGCACTGTTTTCTGCAGACCCATCATACAGAAACACACTTTTTAAAGCCTGTTTGCATTTTCTTTTTTCGATTTGTGTGAGGAATCCCATACAAAGTTGAGAACAATCTAACAAATCCATACAGAGGTCACAAGATATGAACTATGGTTACTAAATGGCTGACAATTATAACCAGCCTGTCTGATTTTTTTTTTGCATGCAATTGCTGTCGGTGGCTATAGCCGCTAGTGGTAATCATTGTGTTCTGCCAGCAGGGAAGACTCCCTAATAACGGAATACAACAGTGCTGCAGGAGAGGTTGTAGGAAAGAACATTGCATCAGCTATAGCTTGCTTAAATTAAGTCTTTCTTTTTCCCCTAAAAGTGTGTTAAACTTGGGCAAATAAGAAAATACAATTTCCCATCAGCTCAGGCAGTCAAAGGAAAGGAGGTGTTTGTAATCTGTGTCCGTGTGTGTGTGTATTTTTTTTTTCCTTTGCTAGAACTTTCATCATCTGTTCTATAAGCTGCCCAGAGATGGATAGAATCTCAAGGAAAACTCTTAATAAAAGTCTTAGGAACACATACACTGTTAGAAATTTGTTCATTTGTGAAAAAAATCTTGAACCCTACTCCTTCGAATGTTTTCGTAACTGTGGTTGAAAATGAATGTCAATTTTGTGTCTACTGTATTAATGATAAGAAAAACGGACAAACTTTCTTTATAACCTTCTTTTACCAAGAATTTTCATTCAATATTTTCAATATTCTACCCATATAGGGCCAGCTTTGGAAAGTAGTTTAAGTTGGAAGGAAAGCATGCAGTTGGGTGGTATCCATTTAAATAATTTAAAAATATGAATCGGTTCACTTGTATTACCCTTCTCTGAAATAGCTAATGTTGACCACCTTCAGTGGATAATTCATTATTTGACAGTATAATATGTTAATACTGAGTTTTGGTGTTTTGATAGGCTCTTGTGTAATATTCAAACAGCTGAGTGCAAGTAAGTAACACTAGTGGGTCCATATGGCATTACTGAGTGTGGGGAAAAAAAAGCTGAGCTGCAAAAATCTGCCATTTCTAGGTGCTGAGCCTTGTATACTATGCAGACTCCTGTTTGTGAGCATCCTTCAGGCAGATATTACTGAATGAAAAGTGATCTTGTATTGTCACAGTTAGGTGCCTTGTACCATCACACTGTAAGAACATACAGTTTAGGCTCATCTGAATGCTTAACACATGCTTTGACTTGGTTTGCGCAGGCAGTAATTGACACTATAAGAGCATGCAGTTGCATGTTTGAAAGTATAATTTTGGAGTTGTGTAAGATAATAGTGTATCCTCTTTTTCTTTTTTTTTATCCTTTTTCTTTTCTTGTAGTGTAAATGAAAGAGCTTCACCAGTAGTACTGATAACATAACTGTGCTGTCTGTTTACTTTCTTCTTTTTCTTTTTATAGGAGATGTTCGAGTAAGAAGCAGAGCCGGCTTTGAGTCTGAAAGACGTGGCTCTCACCCTTACATTGATTTTCGTATTTTGCACTGTAAGTCAGTGAAAAACGCATGGTTTCACAGGCCATTGATGCATTTTGTTTATGCCACTAGGTGTCGGTGTTGGATTTATTTTATTTCATTGTGATGTTTTATGTTTGGCCTGTTTATCATCTGCAACCATATGAACTACCGTAATTAAAAATAAATTTTATATATATATATAATTAAAGGTTTTACATCATCCTGACACAGAGATATGTTTACATTGAGAATATTGATTATAGCAGAAAATTAAGTGGCTTACCATTGAAATACATAGTAGAATAATTAATGTGCCTACTTTTAGAATATTGAAGCCAAAAAGTGGCTTACCATTGAAATGCATATCCAAATAATCAGTGTGCTGAGTTGCTGCTTGTATTTTATTCTTTATTGTACATCACCGTACACAGGTCATATTCATAGCTACTTGGGTTATACTGTCACCCTTAGATGAATGGATAGGCCAAAAAAAAAGAGCTAGGAATCCCCTGCCCAGGCATATACCCATCCCCTGAATGCATGCAACCTATTCATACAACATGGGTAATAGACTCTTACCTTCGTGTGATTGGACACTGGCAAGCTTCTGAGGACATGTCCCTCTGGGGCGCCACCCCTATAACCCTACCCCAGTCCATGAGTCCTCATTTTATTGTTAGTGTCTGTAGGTGACGGACCGGAAAAAAATAGCTTCACTAGTTTTGTTTCCTTTATTATTTTATCTAATTCTGACTTCTATTCTCAACTCTTTCTAATGCCTACAAAAAAAAGCAGTGTATTCAGATTGGTGCAACCTCTCTAAAACCTTGGAAACTGTACCCAGATGCTGAGCTATGGGGACGGCCTGTAATGTTGCTTCAGTCACTGGTTCCTGCATTGGACACTCACCTTGGCACTTGGTGCAATGCATTCATAGTCACAGAGTGTGTTATGGACCAGCCGGCGGTAGCCTCTAGTGCTCCACAGACCGGGATTCCCCAAGGCGCAGAATCTAAGCCCCGACCTGCTTGTTCACCAGGGCCCCTGATGGTGGGGATGGACTTGGAGCAGGCCAAAACCAGGTCGCGGCCCCTGGGCGCAACCAGTTGTGGTAGAAGCACTTGCCGGTGGTATATAGCAGGTGAGAGCCTGATGTGAGGAGGCAGAGTGAGCGAAGTCAGACAGTCTAGGTCGGTAACGGTGGAGGCAGGACGGTACAAGCGGCAAGCAAAAGGATAGACAGGTCACAGGCCAGGTTCGGTAAGGCGAGATCAAAAGTGCAGGATTAGGCAGGAGAATGGTCAGACAAGCCAGGGATCAGAGCAGGAGACAGTCAGCGAATCAGGGTCAGGCAGGGTCGGCAACAAGGCAATCTCTCAGGAAACACAGGATACAGGTAAAGACCATACGGCAACTTGAGCATAGACATAGCCTGTGTAATTAGGGCGCCCTGCGCCCTCATTGGTGCCAGGTGCGTGTCCGCGATCACAAGTGCGCATGCGCGCACCCCAGGCTTTACCGCACCGCACCCAGGTCCTAATGCCCGCACGCTAGTGCGCCCCGGCATACCGCACATGCGCAGACCTATGCGCCGTGGTAAAGCCTGGGGTCCCTGACAGAGTGCTATACAAGTTGAACATCGCGCTGAGTAACAGTTCGCAATGGGGAGTGTTGACATCCAATAGGTTGACGCGTTTCGAGGACTTGCCTCTTCCTCGGAGCTCTGAGGAAGAGGCAAGTCCTCGAAACGCGTCAGTATATTGGATATCTACACACCCCATTGCGGACTGTTACTCAGCGTGGTGTTGACCCAGCTGTTCTTTTATGATGTGCCTTGACTTTATTCTCGTTTGTGAGTACAACACCTATTTTATTTCTTATTAAACATTTTTTATGGTAATGCACTAGGCCTGTGCGCCCTCTCTTTGTTCTTTCCTCATTCAGATTTGCAAAAGGCCCTGAACCACATATTCTCAGAGGGAGTTTTACCAAATGGAGTTGTTGGACCACCACAGGACAGGTTCACGGGACCTGTTCACAGTGCCAAATCCCAATGGAGGTGTCCATCTTATCCTGGACTTAAATTTCCTCTACAAATACCCTCACATTACAAAATTTCATGTGGAAACATCAGTAATTGTGTCTCTGAGGCAAGGGGAACACGTGGCATCTGTGCACATCCAAGATGCTTAGCTACGTGTTCCCATTTACCCACCTCACGGTCGCAGATGACCACTTCCAGTTTGCCTGTCTTCTTCTCCCAAGGTGTTCACAAGAATCCTAGCAACCATGCTTGCCCTTCTTAAAATTCAGGGCATCCAGGTGCAAGCTATCTAGGTAACCTCCTGGATCTACCCATGCTCCTAACAATCCAGGCAAGAAAGTCCTTGTTCTGGTTGATCACCACTCCAAATCTAACAACAGGAAAATCTTTCCTTTCATACAATTGGAAAGTCCTTAAAACAGACACAAGTCTTTCAGGCCTAGGAGTACTCTTCTAATCCTTAACAGTTCAGGGAACATGGTCAAAAGAGAAGAGTCCAAGCTCAATGCTGTTAGGCTATCCCTCGGACTATCAGTACTGGATCCCTCTCCGCCTCGTCTAAATTGTCGCCTAGTTTGGGTGCAGTGAGACAATGTCACAGTGGCATATATCAACCATTAAGGGGGCATGAGGAGCCTGGCTGCCCTGAGGGGAAACAAATCAGATTCTGTTATGGACAGACTCGCTGTCCATCAATTTCTGCAGTTCCCGAATCAAGGAATGGACAAGGGGGTGAATTATCTCAGGCGCCACTGCTTGAACCAAGTGGAATGGTCACTTCATCCAGATGTGTTCAGTCCGATTTGCCATAAATGGGCAACTCGGGCATAGATGTTCCAGTTATCACCCGGTCTCTTTTCAGGCTAAATTGTTAATTCCCTTAACTGAGCATTCTACCTAGCCTACTCCACTGTGATTCCTCTGGCAGTGAATTGACCCAGAAGAACCTGGTACACAGACATGTGCAGACTTCTTGCAGAGGACCCTTGGCCTCTTCCTAACAGGCAAGATCTGTTATCCCAGGGCCCTCTATTCTACCCTGCTTCACAGTCTCCAGCTTTAAAGGGTTGTAATAAAAGGGCATGGTGTCAAGAGGTTACAAGCTGGCATTTTGTTGATTTTTGCCCCTCCATGTTTTAGGCACTCAAGGGTTGTCTTCGGAGCCAAAAAGAGCAGGTTTTCCTTGCGGCTCTGGAAAGGATGCTTTTCTAGGGGGTGATTGCACCTCTGCTGCAGAGTGAGAGGCTTCACTGCTTCTATTTCAACATGTTTACGTTCCTAAGCCAAACTGAGACATCAGGTCTATTCTGGACCTCAAGACTGTCAACAAGTTCTTGAAAGTAAAATAAATTCAAGATGGAATCCACTCAGCTGGTAATTTCTTCTGGTACCAGTGGGTATCAAGGATGCCTACCTATGCATACTGAATTTCCAGCCTCACCAAAGGTTTCTGGGATTCACAGTGACAGCTCTTCACTACCAGTGTGTGGCATTGTTTTTCAGCCTGTCCGCTGCTCCCAAATTGTTTACCAAGTTGTTGCCTCCAGTTCTCAGGTGTGAACGTAGGGTATTTTCATTGTGGGGTACCTAGACTATCAGCTTCTCAGAGAGCAGTTGACTCTGAAGCTGAGATAAGATCTGCCAATGCATCTGACTCCCAAGACCAGGTCAGTTCTGTAATGGTAGATTTTCAAGCAGATGCTGGATGCCGGGAGATCCTTCCAATGAGCTGGAAAGTCTTTATGAGATGCCAGACTGTGTGGCTGCTGAGGTGTTTTGGAGTACCTCTAGGTTCCAGGGAATGTGATCGTCAGAGCAGAAGTTGCTGGTTATCATCCTGGAACCTCAGGCATTTTAGTTGGCTCTTCTATACTGGTCGATTTCAAGGCCTTCTTGTCAGGATGTAGTCACACAATGCCGTGGCCATGGCATTCACCAACCATCCATGAGTGACAAGTCTGAAGTTGTGTTGTTCAAGAAGACGTGGAGCTGATCTTTTCTTGGGTAGAACTTCTTGTTCTTACTCTTGCTCTCTCCACTGTGCACATTATTGGCATAGGAAATTGCACTTTCTTTTACACCAGCCGAATCCGAGAGACTGGTTCCTTCAGCACTGAGGTGTTTGTTACTAGGCAGCTTTATAAATCTTGAAAAGAGGTTTACATTTACATAAATTATCATCCTGGAGCCAAATTGCGACTGAAAACATGGCAAAGCTGAAGCAATCTGAACAGGAGTTTGGTAATGTAAATTAACTTTTCAGGGCTTCCAAAAGTGACCAGCTTTCCCCCTGCACATACACTATATTGCCAAAAGTATTGGGGAATGCCTCCAAATTATTGGATTCAGGTGTTCCAATCATCTCCATGGTCACAGGTATATAAAATCAAGCACCTAGGCATGCAAAATACTACTACAAACATTTGTGAAAGAATGGGTCGCTCTCAGGAGGAGGAGGATTCCATAGCAGAGCAGCTGCATCCAAGCCTTACATCACCATGTGCAATGCAAAGCGTCGAATGCAGTGTTGTAAAGCACGCCGCCACTGGACTCTAGAGCAGTGGAGACGTATTCGCTGCAGTGTCAAATCGCACTTCTCTGTCTAGCAATCCCATGGATGTGTCTGGGTTTGGCGGTCGCCAGGAGAACGGTACTTGGCTGACTGCATTGTGCAAAGTGTAAAGTTTGGTGGAGGGGGGATTATGGTGTGAGGTTGTTTTTCAGGGGATGGGCTTGGCCCCTTAGTTCCAGTGAAGGTAAATCTTTAAGGCGTCAGCATACCAAGACATTTTGGACAATTTCATTCTCCTAACTTTGTGGGAACAGTTTGGGGATGGCCCCTTCCTGTTCCAACATGACTGCGCACCAGTGCACAAAGCAAGGTCCATAAATAAATAGGTGAATGAGTATGGGGTGGAGGAACTTGACTGGCCTGCACAGAGTTCTGACCTCTACCCAATAGAACACCTTTGGGATGAATTAGAT